CATACAATCTCAATGCAATACATTGAAGGTAGTGGGTGTGATGTGACAAACTGAAAAAGTTTAAAGGCATGTAAGTTATTTCGTGTTGTAGTAAAAGTGCTCGGGTGGACAGGATGGGTTGTCTGACTAGAACTAATATGCATGTAGTTAAACTACATTTCTTTTCAATATGTTGCTTTTTTTGTGAAGTACAGTTATCTCAAGATTTTTTTGGACACGCTGTAGTGATGACAGCCTATTATGAAAAATATGTAACCTGGAACTTTACGTAGTTGTCAAATGTGTGTAGATTGTGTCCATGTTGTTTGAATGACGCTCCTGGTCTTTATATCGAATGATGCAGACTTGAACTTTATTCTGTCTGTTCTAGAAATGTTAATAAACCATTGACATGCCCGTCTATCTGCGAGTTCATTTTAGGCCTTCTGAAGTGAAAACCTGCACAAATCCAAATGCATTTTGTTTGTTAGGCTGCGTTCACACTGACGCCTTATCATGGGTTTCTTAACCCTACTGTAGTGAAACAGCTCTCTGCTCTGTACTGGACCAACACTGTGACTCGTTTGCATTATAGTTTGAACTCTCTGATCCTCATCCTGTGGCTAATTTATGTTATTCCAAAATGCATTATGAGTAAATGCAGGAGCAATCTCAGCCTGTAGCCTCACCATTAAATGCAATTACTTGCTGCAGTGCAGGCCTGCAGGCACTAACGGATGAGAACGGAAGTGCAATCAGAATATGCGATCATGTTACATAAATACAGTACAAACTCTCTTTTGTTGTTTATTCTCTCTGTTAGCTGATAGTTATCTCAGCATCATGAGACCAAACACTCCAACCCCGTTTACCATAGTCTTCATTCCAAGTTAAAGACCGTATCCTTTTTTCTGACTATCAACAAGATTCTTTTAAGTCTCCATCCTTTAACTGTAATACAACAAAAGGGAGACATCTGAGTGACTGTATGTTGGCATTTGCATTTACACAGAGTAAGAATACTTTCATTTATGAGGCACCTTTTGTATCAAGACTGATGAATGGTTTCCGAAGCTGTCATTCTCTTTTGGTTTTTCATCTTGCACAATAAAATCTTAATTTCCTCTTCCATGTCTAATCCTCGACAAGAATCTTTTGATTACAAAGTTGGGCGTCTCTGCATTCACTTGCTAGTGCAGACAATTAGCTGCTAAAGTGCAGCCTGGGGCTCAGGTACAAAACTAACCTACACTTGATGGAGATGAAAGGAGATAGAAAGTGAGGAGGAGAAAATTATTTGGCATCACTTAGCCAACAGTGATGGATGCGGTTTTGGAGGATGTGTTTTCACTGCAATCGGCTGAAGTGTGGCTAACAGAGAATGGAAAACAAATTATTCTGCTTGCCTCTGCAGCCACAGGATCCTCTTGAGTTCCACTCAGCTCACTTATATGAGATTCTACCTTTATCCAACAAAAGCTGCTTTAAATTTCTTTCTTTTTTTTTTTTTTGCTGTTGGTGTGGAAACATCAGTACGTAAATCCACCTAATCTTTAATTAAATCCATGATGGGTCTGTGTGAGAACACACTCCATAATGTCAATTTACCTTAACAGAAATTACCATGACACATCAAGTATTACTTGTTCTTCACAGAGATAAAAAAAATATATATATATATATATATATATATATATATATATATATATATATATATATATATATATATATATATATATATATATATATATATACACACATATATATATAGATAGATAGATAGATAGATAGATAGATAGATAGATAGATAGATAGATATCAGTGTGCAAGGTGAGAAGTAATTCATTGCTGCAGCATGAACACTCCTCATTCCTTTATTGTGTTTTATTCAGAGAATCTCGATGTAAACAAAACCCTGATTGACAATATTTCTTACATAAGTCTCTTAGGCTGCATTCACACTGCAGCCTGAAGTGACCCAATTCTGATTATTTTGACGTATTCCGACCTGTATCTGATTTTTTTTTCATGACGGTGTGAACAGCACAGGTAGGATTCTTTTCAAATGCGACCCATATCCGATACGTATCCGATTCAAATGCCACCTAACGTCCAGTTCGCATTCCAGAATTGAACGTCACTGAAATGTGTAAAGCCCGGTGTGTTGAGACAGTTTTCTGTTAGATTGTTTAAGCTTCAGTTAATTAGTATTTGCTGTTTTAATGTTTACAGTTAGATTGAGAACAATAGGCACAAAATGATGGCTATGAGTCCAGTTAGCTCATTGTAAAACCAGGCATTAATCAATGTTTTACTAGTGACAATCATGATTTACCTGTGATAAGTGGCTAGTGTCAGCATCAAGCCCTGACTGAATGAATAGCTTTATTATTATAACCTACTCAGTGGTGGAGAAAGTACTCAAAAAATTTACATTTTTACTTGAGTCAAAGTAAAAAAAGCACATAGCGCGAAGCCAGGCTTCGCATAGCATCATCGTTTCATCCTGGCTTTATCTGTTTTCCACCAGAGACAGCAGCCTCAAATCCTGGCAGTGGTGGCTACTGTGGCTCTTCCGGCGACAGCTGCCGTAAGGCGCCACGGGCTGCCGCGACCTGCTACTGGCACCTGGATGCCTCTCTGCATTATGAATGAAATCGGTAATAGTATGCATACTCTGAGTTGAACAGAAAATGCTCAGCATCTGAGCCTCTGTTAAGATTGAAGAAACTTTCATTCAGTAATAATCGCTCTTTACTCATTTTCTGAATCAGAAGCTGCAACCGGAAGCCAAATTCAGCTTCGTCCCACCTGAGTGAAGTTGCCCTCCCCGGCCCACCTTCTTCAAATCAAACTAAATTGGTGTCAAACGTCTGTGCTGTGTTTATGTTTGTGCTATGTACCAGCACAAACATAGCCGAGTTAATTGACACCTATTGTGTCTGATTTGAAGAAGGTGAGGGGCTGGTTGACCTTCGATGACCTCTAGGAACTTTTCTGAATATCTTTAAAATGATAGCAGCACAACCAAAAATTTTGCTGCACAAACACCAATTTTGTCTGATTTGAAGAGCTTCGACCTGAATGGGCGAGCTAATAGGTGTGTCTATGTATGACTGGCGTCCAGCTTCTGGCCTGCCGCAACTGTGGCAGGTTGCGGCAGGCCACTCCTCGCTGGTCGTGGCATCCTATCAACCTTCGGCAGCTGTCACCGGAAGTGCCTCGCCACGAATTGGGCATCAACAAGTTTCTTTAAAAGGTCATAAAATCAGTCACAGAGTCACTGATGCTATAAGCGCACGCCGTACCTCACGCCAAACGAGCATCTTTTATTGGAGGATTATGAGGAATTGAATTCAATACATTATTGAATTTGTAATTAGCTCCAAAAATGTATTGCAATACTTTCGTTTCTTCATCAGCCATTTGTGTAATTCTCTCAACACATGCAATAATCTGTTAGCCCGGTCTAGAGCAGACCAGCTGCACAGGATAAATCACCAGGGCAACTTATGTGTAGTGAAACCTCATTTTGTGAAACCTTATTGCAGCTTCGTTAAGCCAGGATATCCGGAAAATCCCGGCTTAACCTGGTATCTTAGTTTTGTGAAACGGATCTCTTGTGGCAATTTTGTCATTAAGTACACACAGCAGTTTTTATTGCTGAAACAAGCACAATGTTTTTAAACAGAAAATACGGTTCTTTCATTTTAAAGTTACAATTTAACTTTCATCTGTTTTGCAATCAGATAAAAGGCCTTTCCAAATTAATATCCCAGCATGAATTTCTATTTCAGCCCATTTTGGTAATGCACATTTAGATTATGTTAAATTTTAAAAGTTTGGATGAAAGTCTTTACCATGACACTTTATTGCTTTGTTTATCTTTCCAAGTGATTTGAATTGCGAAGAATTGTACACACTCACCTATGATTTCCCTCTACTACTTGTGACAGAAACTGAAACTCGATGTAAAAAGGTGCAGCGTGTTGTTGAATTACAGTGAAGATGACAAAGAATGGTTTTGCATCACATTAAAATTCAAAGTTTGTTCAGTTTTGATGCTGCCTGCGACACTGTCAACGCGATCTGGCACCTTCCACTACGCATTTTCCATGTTTCATGTTATCTGCATTTTGTGAAGGCTTGACTACATTGTAAATAACGAACATTAGTCGAAGCTGAAAACAAAGGATGTGGTCATAGACTTCAGGAAACCCCCCACCCTCCTACATCAAAATAATTAAAGTAGTTTAAGTGGAAATATTTATGTTCACCAGAGAAAAGTCGAGAACAATTTTCTCGTCGTCAACCAACACATTGCAACATGTTTCAGATTTTTTAAAAAGTTTTGAACATCCACACTCACCACTGAATATTCTAATAGAGAAACCTCATAGACACACACACACGTATTTAGTGGCAACCAAAACAGTTAGGAGTATATCTGACAGATATATGTTGACCCTGTAGATACTGTGTGCGTTATGCATGTAGCATGTGCATGTTATTTCCTGATGTGGTTTCTCAGTTTTATTTTATTCTCTCTTCCCACACCAAGAGGCAGACTTATAGGTTGTTCACCGATGTTCTGTTCTAGAAGCGTAATGAAACAAAAATGTGAAGCTAATGATTTGATTTCACTCCTTTCTGCTTCACACACCTCAGGTATGTATGCCTGCTTCCTGGAGATAAACATCTGCAACAGCTGCTGATGTTTACTTAAGATGCAAGCTTTGCTCCAGGCTTCCTTCACAGGCTCTGTTTGTGTACGCTTGAGTCTCTAGGAACCATACAGAGGCATTTCTCCTTTCTGACAAACACAAGTCCAGTCCCAGCCTCTGCACAACTCCTTACATGTAGATCATTTAACTTATGAACTTTTGGAATGAGTGGAAAAGGGCACTGGAGCTGATCCACAAAAAACTGGGACATGGGTGACAGACGTTTCAGAGCTTGAAGTAAAATGGGTAATTATTACATACTTTATCACAGTCTGCAGATGGTTTCCAAGAACTGAGTTTCTTTTCCTCATTCAGAAGCACACATTATAGCATGCTTGTTATTATACCATTCAGCGTTAACTCCGCCCGCTGCTTGTGTGAGGTCACGTTTCCACCTCCTTTTTCCTCCGTTTGGCAGTTTGCTGCGAACACTCTGCTGACTTGCTGCTGACATTGAACTTGCTGCTGCTTTCAGGAAATCCTAAATAAGAAAAAAGCTTATTAAGAGAAATTACAAAGACAAAGGTCCACGTACTTTGTGGTAATTGCTTTTCTCGCCTGTGACGTTCTCACTCGTTGAGAACATGTGAGTCTGGATATTAAATTATGAGGGGTTTATTTTTCTCTGAAGAACATTTTCTGACCAGCAGAAACTGAAGCTGAAACATCTGTGGAACGTGTCCACTCCTTGGCCGGAAGACAGATTTTCTTCTTCAGACACACAACTCTGAACAAAAACAGGTGAGGCTGTTATTGACTGAAGTTATAAATGTGAAATATCTAACAGAATACTTTTAAATACCCATCTTAGAAGCAGTAGCACAAAGGTTAAAACAATGCAGATCTTGTTTTTCTAATCTTTAATATAATTTTTAAAAAAGCTCATTTTGTTTCCCAACAGAACCTTTTTTAACAGACATGATGCCTGACTATTGTGTGGTAAAGTTTGATTTTCTACTTTAGTGTTTTGAAATTCCCAGAGCAGGGCACTTTGAAATGTCTCAGGTTACAGGAAAAGGTTGTTTGAGAAGATGAAGTTATTGATTTGACTTTAAAATAATGGGTTTTGCTTTGTCTGGTTAAGCAGTGAAGCTCTAAATCAAACATATTTCTAGTTTCTAAAAGAGGAAGCAGTATTCATCTACTCCACAAACATTAGCGCAACTGTGAAATGAAAAGGCAGAAATGTTCTTGTAAAAACATTGCGTGATAAAACTCTGAGAATTAAGGACGGATGCTGATTTTTTTTATTGACATATTCTGCATATTCTTGTTTCATGTTCTTTTTGTGTTGCTCAGAAACAAACTTTGTGCGCAGATTTTTCACCTGCGTGCCCAGTTTGTTTCTCAGCAACTCAAAAAGAGCTTGTAAATGTAACAAAATAACTTCCAACAGAACCTCCAGCCTTTGTGCAGCTGTTATTTTTTCTGTTTCTGATCACATTTGGATTGACATGACCAACATCAACCCAAAAATGAAAATGCCACACATGAAAAATACTCATTTTTGCAAAGGGGGAATACCAACGTGTGGTTAGTCACGGTCTGATTACTACAACTGTACAGTTTTACAGAAGTGATCTGGAAAAAACCTTGCTGTAATACCATGCAAGTTTCCAATGCGTGTTTCTCTTGGAAAATGATTTGAATGAATCTGTGAATCAAACCACCACAAAAGCAGCTCCGCATTATGACTCATGAAGGTAATCTGATGCTGCCTGGATTCTCCGTTATTGGGTTTTGAGTATGTTAATTCCATTACAGGCGCCCTGAGCCTGTAAACAGAGCAGAACAAGCCAAATGGAGGAAGATAAAAATAAAAACATCACCGATCTCTAAGAAAAGTACAAAACATTTTTCTAAAAAAAAAAACCCAAAGCATTTCTACTACCTTTTTGTTCCCAGAATCAGCCCAAGAATATTGTTTCTGATGTCGATGCAAGAAAGTTTTTAAAGAATCGCTGAGCGACACTGATGGCACTTTTGAAGGGTCAGTATTGATGATGCATCCACACAGTAAATCAGGAAGACAATAAAAACAATCAATTTGCATGATGGGTCACGTTTGCAATATTAAATCTTTGAGCCAGAGTCAACAACTGGATACGTCTTTGTCGCTTCAAATTAAAGCTGGACAGCGAATTAAACTGTCAGCCTGTGAGCGTACATTTAAATCAGTAGCTGAATCTGACAATGGATTGTTCATCTCTCCGCAGAATTACAAATGTGCACAGCAAAATTAGATTTAGCCTGTATTAAAGAGCGATTGCTGGATACAATCTGTTGAGACTCTGTTCGTAAACCATTTCAATTCATGGGGTAGAGTTATGGAACAGATTAAATGAAGAGTTAAAACAAAAATTCAATACAATTTAAAAGGAAAAATAAGGAGGTCATTTTCACAAGATATAGAAATATGGGTGCGAGTTAGCACTAATATGTTTATGTATATTGAGGCAAATGCATATGAGTGTGTGGGTATGGCTCTATATATTTAGACATGTAAACCCAGATAAAGTGGAAAATTGATTTACCTGTTTATTTTTATTTTTGATTGGATTGATTGATGAGGGTCCATCTGAAAATATTGTGAGTTTAGTTCATAAGGTTCTTACTTCTTCCTATCCCTTTTCGAGCGTATTAAGATTACTGTGGTACAAAAATATGTCTTTTGCATTCCTTGTTTTTGTGCATAATTTTATACTACTACCAGGTTTTATTTAATTTTATGCTGTTCAGAGTGGATGAGCAGTTGCATTCAAATATTTATTATGTGACAGTAACGTGCAGCGCAGCAAAAAGAGACGCACAACATAAAAATGCGCTTTTATATAAATGTGTTTTATTTTCTTAATCTTTCAGGTGAACTTCCAAAACCACACAGCGGCTGAACACAGAGGACATGATGAACGTCACAGCCACAGCAATGTCAGCCACGCCAAATGCTACAACTACACAGTGTGTTGCTATTGGTTCGAATCCTATCAGCGATTTCCTGATGGCTGTTTACATCCTGGCTTTTGTCTTCGGCTTGACCTTCAATGTGCTGACTTTGTATCCAATATACCAGCAAGTAAAGCAGCAGAACGTTTTAGGGATCTTCCTGCTCAACCTGTCAATATCTGACTTGCTATTCGTCTTCACCATGCCCCTTTGGATAAATTATTACCGATGGGACCATCAATGGAAACTAGGTGTGACGTCCTGCAGTATCGCGGGATTCTTCTACTACTCCAACATGTACATCAGCATTTATCTGCTGTGTTGCATCTCTGTGGACCGCTGCCTGGTGGTCTGTTACCCACTCCGCTTCAAGCCCCATCGTACATCTCGATACGCATGGGTCCAATGTGCCGTAGTTTATGCTTTGGTTACAGCCATACACATATTCATTCTGATTAATGACGACTTAGCAGATGCTCATGATGACACAGACAACAGTGACCGTTGTTATGAGACCTACCCTCTGAAGCCCAAGGTGGCCTTGTATAATGTGATCAGAGTGGGATTCGGCTTCATACTCCCACTGCTCGTGTTGGGAGTGAGCTACTGGAGGGTGCTGGCCACTGTGGGGAAAAGTCCCGGCCTGAGTGCCGCAGCTAAGAGGAAAGTTCGTCTGCTATCCTATGGAGTAATTTGCATCTTCTCAATTTGTTTTGCTCCCTATCACATCCTCCTCTTTGTGCGCTCGCTTGTCCGTTTCTCATACGAAGATAAACTTCACTGTGGTTTTGAAAGAAACATGCACTTCCCCTTCTCCAGCACTCTGGCGCTGTCCAGTCTGAACTGTGTCGTGGATCCTGTGCTGTATGTTCTGGTCAGTAATGGCGTAAGAGATAAACTGAAACTTTGCTGTGGACGTCATGAACAGAAAGGGACGGAGGACTTCAGGCTGACTCAGTATAAAAAAGAATCATCTAGTAATGATATTGCCTTGATATGAAGGGAGGGCTGACTGTGATGTGTTATTTGTTTGTATGTATGTATGTACAATATGTATTAGCCCTTACGACCTCAATTACAGTGACTTAAAACTACTCATTCCTGTGACACAGGATGGGCGATTGTGATGCGAAGAAACACAATCTGTTTCTGTTTTTTTTCAGAAACATGTTCTCTCATTTATGTGACATGTGAACCAGTTTAATTCAACTGAAAAACCTGCAAAGGGGAAAACAGAAAATAGCACCAATAGCTATATAAAGGTGCACCATTATTACCTCTTAGTGTACATTTAACCTTCCTGTACATTTTTTATCAATTGCAGCTAATCTGATTAACCTGAAGCTCAGAAATTGTAACTTTTCTTTTTTTTTTTTTCTTCAGAACTGAGTAGCAGGCTTCCCAGAGGAATCTATTCTAGCATCATGACCCCAAGTTTAACATAGTAATCACTTACTATGTTAAATAGTAAGTGATTACTATTAAAATCTGTTGGATTATCTGGGAGGGTTGTGAAAAAAGTTCTGGTAGATTTTGAGGCAGAATAAGCAAATATTGGTTTGACAAGGAGTGTTAAGTCTTAATGCAAAGATCACCAGGCTGGTGTGGTTTGATGTTTAGTAAAATGTTATTATTTATTTATTTTTTTAAATTTTTTTACTTAAACTGAGAAAGTTGAACATAATAAATGTGCCAGTACATTTGAAACAAAAGTTAGGAAATGTTTCAATGACTAACTTCAAAAATGTCCTGAACTTTTACCAAGTGTGTGGACGTCTAGGGGTCTGTGAGATGTTTGTGTCTCAGTCTTCAGTATTTGCAGTGCAGTCTTTTGGCTTACTTGCTCCCGAGGCCTCTCTATGTGTCAGACAATTGTTGTTACACGCTTACAATGAACCAGTCTTTTTATTTTATTTTCATTCTGTGCATTTTGCACCATGCAGTTCTTGAAGTGTAAATAAAATCATGCATGCAATTTCCGCCACAAATTAACATCAAAACTCTTAAACTTTGGAGAGCTGTTGCAGTGGAAAAAAATGAAAATAAACCTCTGGTTTGAACAAGTGCACTGTGTTGAGGTTGTTCAGTTTGTTGCAACTGGCATTTTGATAATTTTCAAATGCTGGTGAAAAACACGGCAAAGCCCACATATCCAAATACATAGTCATTATCTTTGCACATAAAGATAATCATAAATCCAGCACAGCTGTGCCACTGTGTGCCGCGGGTTTGTCAAGTAGGCGAGGAAAATAATCAGGAGGCCTGTGTGCATCTGAGTGTGAATGAGGCTTAATTTGAGCTGATCATTTGAAAAGAAGCGTGGCGCAAGAAAAAAAGGAAGCGAGAGAAGAAAGAAATAAGGAAAAGAGAGAAATAAAGTTTATGGACTTATCAACGTTTGGCCCTGTGTCAATGGTCACGTTTTCAAAAGTTCTTCTAAGTTTAAATATTGCATGTTGACCAGGATACAAGAGAAAGGCTGAGAGAAACTCACACAAACTAAACCTGTTAGTGGGATGCAATACTCAGTATAACTAGTCAAACTTAAACATACCGCACCCTTGTATTTATATACCTGTCACTTGTGGTTTATTGCCTCTTCCTTTCTGGCTTCCAAGCTTAAATCTTGCAGTCTAATCTACGTGAGAAAAACAGCTTCTTGAGCTGTTCCTCTTGCACAATGCATGAATTTAAAATTACACTTACACGAAGGAAGTGTTTGCAATGCGCTACTTTGACATGCTTTTAGTGATACAGGCAGTTTGACGTAGTTTTTAGTCTTTCTCACTATCAATAAATGAGACCTTTGATAAGAGTTTATCCTTGTAGCCTTAGGTAACTTGAATGTTATATAAGAAATGAACATGGCATAATAAATCTTCCACTGGCTGACGTTGACGTGAGGTCAGAGGTGCTAATTTGAATTTTCTCTCTGGGGAATATAACACACACATCATCTGTGTGAGCTTTTATTCAGTTTGGAAATGTAACCAGTTAGGGTGGGAAAATGAAATCCGATCAAGAGACGAGACTCTTTCTGAACACACTGTGTTCTGGAGGACCTTGTCAAAAGACTTAATGTGTCCTTTTCTTGTAAAGAGTGTGGCTAACAAATAAAATGTATTGTTTTCAATGTAAATGTGGAAGAATTTTAAAGTTGGGAAGAAAAAGAAGAAATTGTGTTCGCCACATCTGGATGCCTACGTGTGTTATGCTGTTGCCATGTGACAATATTTGCATTGGCAAGAAATTAAACAGCCGTTCCTGACTGGAAATTGGCTGGTGAATTCGCTCAGTTTCAGTTCACAAAATTTGCGTGTTAATAGACTCTTTACCATCATATCTTTGTTTATTAGAATTTCACAATATTTCCTGTCAGCGTAATGTCTTTGGAGTCTGTTATTTCAGTCGCTGTCAGCAGATTTGACTTGGGGAAGTAAGTGCATGCTATTATTATGAGCCCCAGACATAGAGAAGAATGAGCGAAGGCTTCCAGCACAGATCGCTCAATTGCGCTTCGCAGCACAGTCTTCACTTTTGCCCCCGATACGGTGCTGAACACAGACCATGAGTTAGAGTCTATGTTCCTTAGGATATACATAAGGATGCTGCTATTTTCTTGATACAATCAATACTAAAGTAAAATGCTCTAAATGTTCCTACTATAAATATTTAAAGACTAGTGATGGCAGGAATGATATAGGAAAGTTATATTATGTCTTTGAATGAAGTGCTATGACATTATCAAGAGTAAAGTTGTTTAAAGATGGCGTATACCTCTTTTTCAACGGCCCATGCTGAGGTGTTCACTGTGGAAAAAAACTGAACTGAGGCCATTTCTGCATGTTAAAACAATCAACTGTGCAGTACAGATGGTTTTCACATGATCTTTTTCACACTTTGCAGAATATACCAGACACCCTCTCATAGTTTGGATGGCCAGTTTTAAGTTGGAAACTCTCCAGCTGCACTCTGAACGTTGTGCCCTCCTGCCTTCTGCTGCCAGCTCCTGCTTCTCCACCACCTAATCATCCAATCAGGGGCCGAGTTCAGAGTATCTTTGCTAAATTCCTGACGTAAGGGAGACAAGCTAAGGGGAGTGGAGATACACGAGACGCTCCACAACACGTTGACCAGCTTAATCGTGAATTGATGAGATTCGAGCTTTAAACTTACATAAGGTAATGAAGAAGTATTTAAATTTTTACACATTAGTTGTCTTCTGAAATGATATCTATGCAAAAGCGAGGACACAAAGAGAGTTTTGCCCTACATGTAAATTAAAAACAGCACAGTAATTGTGCCTTTCATCTTATAAATGTAAAACACGGTAAAGTTTGACAAAATTGAAGTTGTCGTCCGACGTCCGGTAGCATTTCTCCCAGGTTATTAAACATTTCTTTCTTTCTCCCGACTTAACTTTAATGAACGCCCTCAGCTTGCTGATGGACTCCTTGGTGAATCAGTACGGTGTCTTTGATTTGCTGTTATGACTCATGGCCTTATTGTGTGATGAAAGCTCGGTCTAAATGCGCCGTACAGACGAGCTATTCTTAGATATTATTCTTAGTGCACAGTCAATTATTGTAGCCTACACAAAAGTGGACTCAAAAGAGAATCATTTTTCATCTCTTTTTCCTCTATGCCCACCATAGTTTCTAAATTATACTTGATTGCTGATCTCCAACTGCTTATTATTTCATAGCATACCTTTAATAAAACAGCAAGCTTTCGTAATTAAACTGAATATACAACCACAAATCAGGAGTGGGCAGTCAACAAGCTAGTAATTAGTCATTGTGATTATTGTCAACTGAGTTGTGTTGGTTGTGTTTCCTACTGATGCAGAGGTGCCTCAGTTCAACAGACTGGTTCTGTGAGAAGTGAGTGGGCTTTCGAAGGTAGAGCGCCTAATTGCTTTTGTGATATTGATCTTGTGTTGTATGAAGATCAATACCTTAAGCTTTGTTCACTAAGAGACATCCAAACAACCCGATTTATGATGAAGCTGAAACCTTTGCGTGGTATGCAGTAAGCATAAAAAACTCCTGCTAAGGTAAAGCTCTGTTATGCTCTCATGTACTGAAATGATGACGGTTGTCAACAAAAAAAAAAAAAAAAATGGGGGTGATGAGGATCAAATACGGCACAGCGGGACAACAATAAAGATATAAAATAACTGGTATTAAATCATGCATATTCTCTCATCTAATCAAAAAAATCTCAGATGCTGGTTGGTTCATCACCTGTACTGAGACAGAAATAAAGAAAGTTCCTATCAATGGTGGTGATGGATTCCTATTGCAGCTAAGCTACAGTATACACTCAAGCACACATTTAAAGTATTTATTGAAAACCAGCTAAGAGGACTTAGCTGGTGCAACCTGCTTTTCTCTACAGCTGCATGATGTCCCAGTTGATTATTCTGTATACTGGACAGATGAAGCAGCATCACATTTTTTCAAATCCCTAACCACAAAGTCGTCAACACATAACCAAGTAACTATTTTAACTTTAGTTGTTTGAAAAATTTTGTTTTTATCAAATATGACTCAAAAGAAATTTGACTTTGTGATATAGCGCCTTGAAATTGGGTCTCTGTCTCTTTAAAAACGCCTGCTTTTTCTGAAACTCTACCTTCAGCAAGTCATCACAATATTGCTCCTCTATTAACTCTTTAATGACATTTGCACAAATGTCGCACTGGAAGTAGCACCTTTAATGAGCTCAATAGAGGCCCAGTTCTGCAAGGTGTTTGCTAATTGCTGCTGGCTAGTCTGAAGGATTGGAGAAGGGAATTTTAAGGGGTGGGGCTGTTGTGTGAGGCTGAAATTTGAAAGCTCCAAGGAGGAGCTGAGTCTTGAGGGATTAACTTTGTATTGTGTAAAGCTGAAAGAAAGTCAGTTTTACATAATATTCCTTCAGTAGCAAATGTGAACAACGACCCCAAGCAGGCTGCCACACCAAAACCTGACTTGAACTCAACAAAGTCAATATTATGGACTGACCACTGTAAAGCTCTGCTCTCAGTCCTGAAAAGCTTGTGGAAGTAAATCCAAAGTGTTTCCCATTGTCATGTAGACAAAAGGGTAATTCTACCAATAGACTGATTTAAACTCAAACAGTGAGAAAATTGCTAAATCTTGTATTTTGTTCTTTTGCTATACGAGGATCTGGGAATTAATTGTACTATTTCCACATTACCTCGGTGTGTGGACTTTTTTTGTTGTTACTATAATAAAAAGGGGAATTTTGTTCATTGTCATTTCCCTATTTCAAATATAAAATACTTCCTTACAACAGATTGCTAACCACAAGAAAAGTTTTATTTTTCCCTTTGGAATCGGAAAACATGATCTTCATAAAAAGAAGGCCTAATTTCTTTTTGTAGAGTTTTGTGCTGGTATCCTGACAGAACGTTAAGAGACTGGGTTGTTTTTTTTTTTTTGGTTTGGTTGTGCTTATTCTCATCTTTTTAAATTTGACCTAAAGTTGAAAAGATAGGCTTTTTAACTTTAGGTTAAAAAAGTTTGATCAGTATCACAAAAGGCGAAGTTAAAATCATGTTGAAATCACTGGTTTGATTCCATTATCTAATTTTAACACCATGCGAACATGTTTACAAATATTTCTAAGTTTTTCCAAAGAACAATAACTCTTCTTAGTCTTTGTGTTGAATTGCAATGGTGCTTTTTTTCCAAAAAAAAAAAAAAGTGTGTGTACTGTTGTAACAGTAATCTTTTATAGATCTTGAATCAGACATTTTGTTTACGCATAGAGGTCTGGTTTCAACAACCTTTGCATAATGAAACCCTGATGTGCTCCTTTAGATACAGGAATGAGTTGATTGTAGTGCGTATTATACGTGGTTTAGCATTTGGATGTGTTTGGAAGAATCCCCCCAGGGAAACCCGAGATGACTGTGACTCTGACTCCCGGCATCACAACGATTTTATTTCTTGAGAAAAGGCAGAATGAAGTCGTTCTTTATTCCTTAACCAGAGTTAAAGTGAAGCTGCAGCTGTTACAGATATTGCATTACAAACAGCAAGGATGACGTCAAGATATACGTTACGATAAGAATACAGCATTTTTTTTTTTTTTACCATAAACTCTAGTAGAGGAGCTAAAAATCTTTTCTCGCTCTTCCAATTTCAGCTCAACATTCCTGAACATAATTTTGAGTCCTTTAGCTAATAATCCATGAACTATGTCTGCTACACACCCCAAGCTTGGTAGCCCATTTATTCCTTCATTAACCTGCCTGTTTGCATATTTCAACATTAAATCTGAGCAGTATCAGAATTTAGCCAAATCTGTAAAGCCTTTTAAAAACTTGATTAGGTTTTTAGAAATTTCTTGAGCTCCTTTCCCAAACATGTTCACTAAATGAAGGATTTTACGAGGAACCCAGTTTATGATGGTATGAAATTTCAATTTAAGGAACCTGCAGCGTTTCTGTAAAACTACTTCTGCCAAACAACGTGGTGAAACAACAGGAGGATGTGAGTAGGTTGTAAATTTCAATGAACGCAACAGTTCATTGTGAGTAGTGTGGTGTTAAAGCATAATCAGCTTGCAACAAACGGTGAAAGTGGGAGAGACAATGTCATTTACATGCACCAAGTAATAGTTTGGCTTTAAATGTGCTGAGTAAGATGTTTGTTTGTTAATTGTTTACACAAACAAGCATTGTGCAACGCAGAATTAAACTGTCAGCATGACGGTTTTAATGCATAATGCTTTGGATCATTAGCTAATTTCTGCTGACACTGAGCGCTCATTCAAATTCAATTTGCAGCTAATCTGAAAACACTTTCACATCAAACTTCATAAGACAGGAAAACATAGCTAACCTTTAACTCTTTTGTGGGAGAGTGGCTGGACATAACTAATTATTATCATTAATAATGAATTTTTAATAAACATGATAATAATAATTATCATCATAACTGGTGATCCTACAGGTAATGAAAATAAAAGAAACAATAGCTTCACATCCTGAATACAAAGTCTTGGCAAAACAAATCTTATAATAATTTCTACGTAACCATTTCATAATTGATAATAGAAAAAAAAGCTACGCAGTGTTATTGGTATTTTCATGCAAAATAAATTTTTTCGTGTTTAATAAAATACATGAAAACATCATGTTTCATGTTTGAGAAAAATAACTGAGTGTCTATGCTGGACTTGGATCGTGTTTTAAAAAAACATTGTGTGCGATGACTGGTGAATGCGGAGCATGTCAAAATGAAAGAAAACATTAGACTCCTGTCAGTCCTCACCCAGTTATCTTGGTTTGGACACGTCCAGCCTTCATCGCCGTCTCTTCCTCACCCTCACTGTTCTGTCTTGTCTATTCCTGCTATGTGTTTGTATTACCGGCAGAACTGAGTAATTTCTTCTGCACATCTGTGATTTGTTAATTCCAGTGCAGTCCACCCATTTCTCTGTGTCTGTTCAGAAGTTTGTGAGCCCAGTCTTAGACAAGAGCTTGCGAAACACCGTCTGATCCATCCGCTTTTGCCAGTTGTGACTCATAGAGAAGATTAGAAGTCATAGAGCTCCTTCTAAGAATTTAGAAGGTGAAACTAATAACACAAAAGTACACACACAAAGCTCAGCAAGCGAAACAAATTCTGTGTCTTTTGTACATGCAAAACTTCTTCAGTCTGCGACTTCTGCTAAAGGAGACACCATATTGTTTTCTACGCTCGTGTTGCAAGACAGCTATGTTCCAGAGAATTGCAAAGTAACGGTGACTGTGAAAAAATGCCCAGATAACAACTGAGTGGTTTCTGTCTGAAGGCATGCCATGTTAGAAAATCCTTAAAGCACATAGATTTGTACGTTCCAGTACCGACCGCAGATTGTGTATGGTTTTCTACTGATGTGCTTTTTGACTTTTGGTTTTAGATGTCAACAGGTCAAAGGTAAAGGAAACAGCCCTTCCAAGCATCTGAAGTATTTTGTTTTTGACAGGGGGGGTTTGAATTATGGACGTGTGCAACACATTACCAGATCATTCACTGAAAAAATGTGACATCCACAAAGTTGAATGTATTTCACTAGAATTTTATATGTTAGATCAACATGAAGTGTAGCATAATTGGGAAGCGAAAGTTAATCATACACCGTTTTCAGCATTTCTTTGCAACTACAAACACTAAAGGTGCAGCATGCATTGGTATTCAGCTCTCCCATTTTAATGCTATGGAATTGCAGCTGCACGTCTTTTAGGATACACATCTAGAAAATGTGCGAAAGTTGTTGGTCGTTGTCTGCTTGATGTTGTCTTCCTCCTCGGTTCTGTCATGCACCTCATGCACCTGGGCTGCATGAGTGTGGTTTCTTAACAGACTGCTACCACAATACCCGAGAATCACGTCCTCATCAACTTACCTGCTTTAAAGGCCCTTGCGTGCTTATTGTGTGCTGGATAATTAATTAATTTATCTGGTACATATACCACAAGCTGTCTCACACGCCACTCAAAACTTCTCCAAAACTTTATCTTTGAACTATTTGTTGTTGTTTGTTCCACAGTGCTTTATGGCGCCCCACAAAACAGTTTTATTTAAGAAAAATGATGTTCACATTGCACCCCAACAGACACTATTTACTGATAAGTTTGCTTGTGAAGGAAATTAGCTGCTCTGTTTTATTTAGGAGTATCAGAGTAAAGGGGGCTGAATATAAATGGATGCCGCAGGTTTTAGATGTTTATTTGTTAAAGAGAATATACTGTATCCTTTTCCTTCTGTATCTATGTTTTTGTTATAACTACTTTAGTAGTTTTAACATGACAAAATGCACAAAAGGTCAAGAGATTTGAAAACATTTTCAGATGACTGAATGTCACCTTCCTTGAGAAGGGAGATAATATTTATGAGGAATAAGTAATTACTTGAAATGATTTTCTAAACATTGCCACAAAGAGTTTCACATCATTACAGAAATTATTTACTGCCATTTATTTATGACTCGTAAATATGCAAAGGATCTTCTTTAGAAAAATCAGAATGACACAGAGGAAAACCACAATCCGCCCCATTACATCATCTGACTTCTGTGAAACTTTGGACCTTCTTCTCCTTCCTCCAGTTTATTGAAATACGAAACAAACATTTGTTTTCTCAGGTTACCGGGGAATAGGCATGGAAAGAACGTCAGGAGACACCTCCAACTATAATTAACATTTTTATTACCAAATCTGAGCCATAAATCTCCAACCGTATCAGAGCCAAATTAAAATCACTAGATTGAAATCAGTCTTTGTGAGAGGATCACTGTTGGGGAATCAAACTAGATGTTATTGTAATATTTTGGTAAATTCCCTTTGACTCTTAGATAATTCTACTGTTTTATTTTTGTGTGAAAAAAAAAAGACTTAGATCAAGTAATTGTAATTTATTTTCTGGTTTAAAAATTATTTGACACAGGTGCTTTAAAACTATTGATTATGCTTGACAGCAGCTCAGTAAGAGAGATGTCACTGCGAAGAGCAGAGAGTGACTGTTCTGGTCATGCTCTGAATATTAAGATGATAATTAAATACATTTAGCTTCTCCAGACACATCCAAATGACTGTCTATCAACTCTTTATGAATCTGAAGTTTCTAACGCTGGCAGTGCAGTCATTTGGGTTTTTATTATTTCTTACTTTGTTTTAATCCATTTCCCTCATAACCTGAAAATGCACACTATTTACAAAAACAAATATTTCTAAATTGAAAAAAAATGTTGCTGTGAAGTAAAATCATCTAAGAAAGATAGCACACCATATAAACAGAATTTTTTTTTTAAAAAGCCAGTTAATGCACATTTCATCACTAAATCAAGGTGATTTATAAGGCAAGCGAGGCAGAAACAAAAAAGAAAAAAATACACATTCATAATAAAGTATGTATAATATGTATAATGAAAGAAATATACTTCATTTGCACTTTTCCTCTTCTTGGCTTGTACTCCGTATCTGGTGTGAAGGATTCATTGTTCAGCCTGCTCTCTGGAGTGCTTTTAAACAAGTCTTTTAACCATTGTCACTCGTCATGTGTGTCCAGCCTCAGCACTGATTTATGCCTCTGCTGAGCTTTCTGAAACTTCAGTCAGCTGAATGTCGAGGCCACAAGCTCTGCTATTCAAGAAAAACCCGGATATCCAAAAGGACGGCTTAAGCTGTCTTGTACTTCATCATCAAGCTTGACATCAAACACCCTGGTATAAATTATTGCCTGTTTGTGGTATCTGTGGTGAGCCACAAAACAGGTCTGAATGTCTGGAAGTTAATAAAAAAAAAGCTGAAAAGCCATGAGGGAAAATGGTCTAAGCGAACACTGAGCCTGCGTTTGGCATTTTCTCATATTCCTGAACATCAATTTAATTGTCAGGATGAATCATGTGGCTTTGCATGACAGGAGCTGTTACTGAAGTCGCATCAAACACTCCGCTCCTGGATGGGGCGCGCTCAACCGTTTCCCCTCGACGACCGCGGCAAGGACAGAGGTAGCCTTTCAGATGCATGCGCACCTTGCTGTGCAGAGAGGCGTAGATGAAAGGGTTGTAACACGCTGAGCTCATGGCCACTAAATGGCAGCAAACCTGCAGGACGTTTATGTAGCGTTTCCCAATGATAAGGAACTCTGGGTCCAAGTCCAGCAAAAGGTTCAGCACCTAAACAATAGGAGACACATGAAAAAAAGTCTTTCATTTAGAATACAAGATGTCATTTTGTGCCCAAATAGTTCAGAGTTTTTATTGTGAGGTTTTGTTCAAAATTTCATAAAGAAATGTCATGTCAACGGTTATTTGCACAGGAAATGGAGGAAGAAGGCGATGCACCCCATGATCTTCCTGTCTGAAAGATGGGAGCATCTGAAGTATTTCCTGTGACTGTAACTGAAACAAGTGAGGGGGTGAAAAATTCAACAAACATAGTGCCACTTTGTAGCACCATCACGCAACTGTTACCTTAAGTTGTTATAAGAAATGCTGTATATATCAAGTATGCTGAATTGAAATTGGGTCTCTCTCTCTCTTTAACCCAGCTGAGGTCTTAAGAGATGGGATCATTTGACCCCCGCCCCACACTGGTGAAAGTTCAACGAGGCTTAGCTGTGTAACCTTTTCTGTTCTTTATGGTTTAATGTTGGCAAATACTGAAGTATACTAACACCACGCAGTGTAATGAAGTTCTGCTGAAGAGAGATAGGTGATTAATAATAATTGTGGAGATACTAAATAATGAACTGATTGCAATGCTCAGGGCTTATGGGTGCTGAAATAAATAAATAAATAAAAATCAAAGTTCCTGAAGAGAATCAGTCCATTCACAAAGGTTGAGGTTGACAACCTCTGTAGACTTAATGAAGTGGCCACTTGTTTCTAAATTACACACACAGATAAAAACGGGATCATTTGAGACATTTCTACAGAACAAACGTGTTTATTTTATGGTAAAATTAAATAACCTCAATGAATTATTTTTTTTCTTAGATAACAGCCTCGAACCCAAAAGCAAAAAGCTTATTTTCATAGTTCAATTAGGCCAACTTGAAACATTTACATTAAGGAGAATGGAAATTCATTTGAAGCCCAGTAAAATTAAAGAGACCAACCAAGCTCATTTTCCTTTAGTTTTATTCTGTTTCATTTGCAGAGACTATTTGCATGAAAGCTAATTAAAAAGGGCCTGAAGGATCCTTTCATAATATCCTCATTCATTATAGGAAAAAGAAGGACATTTTTTCATGTTATTATTGGTCAAAGTCATTAAAACCTGATGAGGAGGGTCTAAAGACTCAAATGTGTGCAAGTTTACACTCTCCTGGACTGAATTAGCTTCAGCCTGTTGGACCAAATATTAGAGATGTCTAATAATTAAGGATGTCCAAAACATTACCTATTGCGGGTAAGTTATTAAACCCTCAGTTGCAGAAATTGAGTTTAAAAAAAGTCTTAAGTCCCTTTGAGTTTTTCCATTGAAAAACTGCTTTTGCAGTTTCGAAGATGCCAACGCATTCTGAAGTGTCAGTGAGGTGATTTTATTTGACCTAATTAACATAATCTACTTTCTTTGATTACTTCCTGTTTATCAAAGTAAGTAATCAAAGTATTATTTCCTTTATGAAGACAATTTCCTCTTTGTCACATGAAAAAAAGCAGGCAACAGTCCTGAAAGTTTGCAAATGTGTTGGTCGGCTGCATGGAACACCGTTGTTGTGTAATGAGTCTTTCTCACCTGGTAAGCTTTGCCACATAATCAGAGTGATCTTAAAAAGATGGCCTCATCAACCACTACTCTGTGTAACTTCATCCTCTCCTCAGTCCTTATAATGATGAAATCCTAATATTTTAGTCGTCATAGCTCATTGAGAAAATAGTGCAGGATTTGCAGACTCTATTACTTCAACGTGGCTCTCGGTCATAAATGATGCAGGAAATATAATCTCGCAGGCAATATAAGTTTCATTTTTGGCCTCTTCCCTGCTGCTGTGTTTATCGTTTGCTGGTTGATACAAATAGAAGTACATTCAGCTGAACCAGATAGAAAAGGGGGTAATTAATACATAAATACATAAATAAATAATAAACAGTAAACACTGGTAAACATCAAGTGGCTAGTTATTTGGTTTCAGGTTTGCTTGTTTGGTAATTACCTGCAGGGGCAGCCAGCACAGTGCAAATGCCAGCACTGAGGCCACCAACAGAGTAAAGGTCTTTTTTCTTCTTTGACTCCAGGGCTGTTGACTGCTGGATGGCTCCCCAGGCACTGAGTAGCGCTTGAGGCTAACAGTGATGGCACAGTAGGAGATGCTGACGGACAGCAGCGGGATCATGTAGGAGGTTGTGAGGATGAAGCAGGAGTACAGCAGCCGCAGGTTGCCGCTGTCGGGCCAGAATTCCTCACACACCACCAAGTCGATCCCACTGGGACGAAGGTCCAGGTAGCGCGTGTAAAAAGACGGGGGTGCAGCCAGGGTCAGAGACAAAAGCCAGACACCCAGAGTCACAGCGCCACAGCCCCAGACAGAAATTCTTTTCCTTACTGGGTGAGCTGCGATGAGGAAATGAAAAAACGAATGGAAATAAACAAGAAGAAACGCATTAGGGACTTATTGCTTTCAGATCCATTTCAGAGATCAGGCTGGATAAGAGACAGGCTTGGCTCTCCCGATCAAGAAGTGTTTTAAAGAAAACGGTATATTGTATTCCTCTATGCATATTGTCAAACTAAAGGGCTTAAAAAACTCAAACTTTTGGTTTGAGTTAGGAATCCGATAAGAAAAAGTTAACATTGAAGAAAAGCACATTATTCCTTTGAAATAAACAAAACCAAAGCATTTTTCTTGTTTTAAATTCATTAATGTTTCCAGGAATTTCTAATTAGTAATCCATCACTTCCTGTAAATATGACTTGATAAAAAGGCCCATCTGCTTTGACATCTAGTCATTACACATAATGAGCATCCATGATTATCCTGCCATTACTATCAATAAGGAGGATTTTGGTAAACTCCAGTATATAGTGGCAACAGGTCCCCATAACAAGCAATAATTTTTTATTTAACCCTTATTTCAACAGGAAATAAAGTACCTGCAACAAATTCACATTCCAAAGCACAAATGTTAAGTTATTTACCGACGACAATGTAGCGATCAACAGCGATGGCTGTGAGTGAAAGCACCGAGGCAAACACTGTGGCACACTGCAGCAAGGGCACCAAGTGGCAGAGCGGTTGTCCAAAAGCCCAGCCGTGGCTGTCGAAGGCGTAAGACACAGTCAGTGGGACACAACTCAAACACATCAGCAGGTCGCCAGCCGCTAAATTACCAATGAAGAAGTTGGTGGCATTGTGGAGTTTCTTGTCTACCAAAATGCAGGCCAACAAAAATGAGTTTCCAACACCCGCCACGACCACCACGAGGCAGTAGAGAGGCAAAAAAAGAGGTTTGAACCGTTGAAGAAGCTCCATCCCAACAAACATGTCCAGTGGGTCACTGTGATTGAGTCCTTGGTCTTTGTTGCCTTCTGGTCCTCCTGTTGCTTGAGTAGCGTTTCCAGTCAAACCAAAGTCCTTATTCGTAAAGATGTCCATGTCCGTGCAGCTAAACCTTAAAAGAAAGGCAAAAATTAATCATTAACTACTCAAATTTGATGAACGTAATTAGTCATTATTAAGGGATTTTAATGCCATTGCTAGTCTGACTAATTTATAGTTATTGGATCTAAAACAAGACAGAATTAGTCACTATGACTATCTATGACGGTTGCATGATTAATGGACAGGAGTTAAAATTTTATGGTTTAATTCTTGAACAAACATGTATGGCACAGAAAACTCCTGCAAACCAACACGTTGTGCTCAAAACAGACCACAGGGATGGTCTACATTTTCTTTTATAACTGTGCTAGCTCCATTTAGTGGGGTCGATTGTATTGTAAAAGAAGCTTGTTGCCAGAAGATGAAGCACAAGGCAGCTTGAGCTGCATCATGCTGTGTAGATCGGCTGAGAAAAACAGAGTGCGACTGGAAAAATGATTTACTTGCAGATCTATTTTTATGTCTAAGTTTGAGCATAAATTCTCCTGGGAAATCATTTAAAATATTTTTTTGACTTCTCTTGGGAGCGTTCTAATGTGAAGGATACACGTTTACACTCCAGCGCATCGCAACCCATCATGTGTTGGAACGTTTTACTCACTAGTGGATTTGCTTCGAAGAGCTGCCAAATCCCAACTCTGGTTGCTGCGGCATGCAGCTGTTAGATATACAGTGAAGCGCGCACCAGCAGAGAAATATTATGAAAAGTGTGAATTTATCAGGCTTTTAGTGTAGTGTTAGTAAGCACTCCTATCAAAGATTAGCTGAGTCCTTTTTAACATAATCCAGAATAATAAAAATCCTTATTTGCCGCAATTGAGCCGAGATGAAAACCATCTCTTTCATATCATCTCATTCAATTTAGAGTTCAACAACGAGAAGAGACGTGCTTGGAAATGTTAATTTTAAAGACCTGCCTACAAGAGCATTTGGCAGGAGATTTAGTATTAATGGAAGCATAATTGTGTTGGTTCTCACTGACAATTTCAAGATAATATTGTTGACAATAAACCTTTAAAACTGAAACTCGCTAGTTTTCAAATATTTAGTACAATTCCACGATCTAGCATTGTTTGAGATTATTTTATATGTTATTTTTGGCTCCATATTCGATGGCATTTTTCTCCATTCCCGTGAGGCCCAGGACCGATGCCGCTGCTCCCCATCTTCATGTGACTTTTACATTTTGGCAGCAAATGAAAGAGCAAACAGCTGCAGTGGCTACAGAGTAAAAAGCCATCTGAACCTAAAATGATTTTCAGATGCCTGTGAAGCTTTTTGTCATTTATGTCAATTGCTCCCTGTATCCAAAACAAAACTGTGACCTTTACCCATACATTAGTGTTTCCAACATGTTATTAAAACTAAATTGCGCTTTAGATTTACTTGAAGACTTAAGGATTGTGAATGTCAGGATTGGCTACAGTCTATGGACAGTCTACTGTGCGTACCTTGAGTTTTTCATTTGAGTAGAAATAAAAATTGTGTTTTGTTTAAAAGCCTCCTGTGTGCGTTTATGCGGCGTATCTGTGTGTGTCAGGAACACGCCATCAGTGCGCTGTGCAGCGTTACTGTGAGCCAAGTGCATTGTGTGCGTATGACACGAACTTGTGTGGGTTTGGTCTGTGCTGGTTTTGTGTGCCGGACGATGCGTGTCGGGCATGCGGTCGTGGTCCTGGGGGCCAGATGCAGTGAGAGTTTTGTATTTTGTGCGCGCCCTCCGATAATCTCCTGCAGGCGCCCCTGGTGAAAGCAAGGCGTTTTATTTACTAATGCTGGTTATTCCAAGCAGCACAAACATCCCTCACAACACAAAGTGCTTCACACTAGCTGAGACATAATTATTAATCTACTGAATACAGATTGGTGCTGTCACTAAACAGATTACCCACGAACTAAAAAGGTTTGCAACAGGGAAAGCATGCTTATCTGTGGACTGGATGTGTGTGTAGCTAAAAATGCAGGGCTTTTATTAGTGCCTCTTGAGTCTTTTGACATTTTGACACATTACAACAGCAAACAGCAGGATCCAAAGCATTCGGCCCTGTTCATGTGGGAACTTTTGTTTCACCCTCAAAAACAGGGAAAATGTTTGTGGTAGTGCTGAAGCTGCTGCAGAAAGAACCTCATTGATCAACGTCAAGAAATTATCTGTGTTTCTCTTGTATTTCACTGAAAAACAACATACTCAGGATGTTTGTGTAGAGTAGGGTGAGACCAACATACGGGACCATATGAGCCCCATTGCCACAAGCACCTATTGGTGGCAGTGTGGTTTGAAAGTTGCTAAGGAATGATAGAAAGATGAGTGAAGCTAAATATAGAGTGAGGCAAAAGAAGCTGCAGAAGACTGGAAACCAAGGCTAGCTTTATCTTCCATTAGGACAACAACTCTCAGCATAATGCCAGAGATACAGATTAGATCAAATCAAGTGCAAAGGTGCAGAGACATGCTCCAAAATATTTTCAGCTGTACCTGCTGCAAAAGTTGTTTCAGTGGGGTTCAACACAAATACAGATCAAACTTTACAGTTTTATTTGTGGCAGTTGTTTAAATCATGCATTCTTTTCCCACTTTGTAATTGTTTATCAATCAATTGTTTATGTGGAAGTCATAAACGATAAACATACAAATTGCAACAAAAAGCATTGGAAATTGTCTGTAGCATTACAGAATGTTTAAAAAAAGTGCAAAGGTGCAGAATGCTTTTGTGCAGGAAACACCTTAATCTACAAATCAGTTGGTTAAAGTAACAGTAACATCAGGGGCATTTTGTCTTCTTGCCTCTTGTGCACATTGTATGACTGGGTAACATTTGAACATTTTGGTAAAGCAGTCCCCTATTTTAATTTTTTTTAAGGGACAGGTCTGTTGACTAAATACTTTCATATAAGATTCAATAATTTTTTTGAAAAACACTATTGTCAAGTGATGAGATTTCACTAAAGTAGGATCAAGTTGATGCTACTTTGAGCTCCTTTTACTGAGCTGTTTCAAGGCTACATCACTATTATGCAAATAAGCTGCTGCTGGCTGTGCCTCCAACTCGGCGTTGGGACTTAATACAGCGGAAAATGGCTGCAAACAGATGCTCAAATGTACAATAACACAGCTTTCACCCCATCATCACGGAATGGTCAGAATGACCATGGATACGCTTTTATGAGTATTTTTTTTTGTTTCTGTAGTTTCGAAAAGAGACATCCACTTTACATCCCTGTCTTTCAAGAATGACATCTGCTTCGCTCTTCCTGAGAACTGAGCTGGGACAGGACAGAACTTTCCTGCAATCGAAGTCTTTTGGTAAATCCTGTCGTCTACTGTCAGTAGTTTTCAAAAGAGTTCTTTGTTAAGTGATTTGTGAAAACTATCATTTTGTTTCATGGCAATACGGCTGAGACATTGCCATTAAAATGTAAAATGAAGCCAAGCAGCTCTGCTATGCGTGACTGCGAGAATACAGGGGCATATATTGTTCACTGCAGCCAACAACAAAACACTAGTCTTTTCCAGCAGCCATTGTACAGTGTCTACATCAGTAACACCAAACATACAAGTTTTCGAATAATGAAGTGAGCACAGTTCTGTGGGGATGATGAGGAACTGGGCTATATTGGGGTTGCTATGTGAAGAAGAAGTGCTTCACAAATGACTCAATAGTCCAGAGATTTTTGAAACAACTCATGTTTCAATCCCCCAAAACTTTAACTAATAAGTTGGATGTTTTGTTTTATCCTTTGAACTGCTTGTGGAGACCCAAATGCAAATACTGTGATGCTATTTTGCATAACAGGTCCACTTTAAGTCAGTGTCTGGTGCTGTGGTTTTGCAGGTTGCATCTCTAAGTGTCCATATTACGTAACTACTTCCAGTTTCACAGTTTTCTGGGAAAAAACTGTGAACAAAGCCTTCCTGTCTTACACTTGCAGCATCCAGGCAAACCGGGGCAGTGCTTTTGTGTAAGAACAACAGCAAAGTGTCAGCCTCACTCTGTGTTTTAAATGAGCGAACATCCGAAGAGGCACAACATGTTTTGCTTCATGTTGTTTTCATCAGTAACATCCAACAACGCTGTATCAAATATTTATTAGCAATAAATTTAGCTCTTTATGAGGACATTGGTGTTTTTGTTCACTTCAGCTGAAAAGTTCTGCGTCCTTATTTCAACAACATGAAACGAAGCGTCTTTCTAAAAAAATGTAAGATGGTTTAAAATGTTTTTTTTTTCAGACATTACAAATTGTTAGTTTGCTTTCAAACAGTGGAATGATTGTTGCCTTGAATGTACTTAACAGATGCTACATTTTATGAAATGCTTTGGGTGACATTAAGTTAATTTTTTTCTGAAAAGTGTGTTCTTTATGTGAACAGGTTTGCTTCTGTTATGGTTATACATTTGGGTATATTTGCAAGGGATTGATAATATATGCAAGGCTTTTTGGTACAACCATTTCTGTAACCATTACTTGTCATTAAGATCCAATTGACCCAGTATTAGAAATTATTGAATCTCATTCAAGCATTATTTGTCGTCTGCCTTGTTGTCTCAGGCTACAAAAATTTTTCCTTCATAATTGATGATAGAAATTTCTTTTTGCCTCGATTTCCTTTGTTAATCACTAGCATTAAGGAGATACTAACTATTGTCAAAGGTGCAACATTGTATTTTTTCCAAGTACATTGTACAATTTCATAGCACTGACGTTAAAGTTATTTAAAGTGTCTGATAGATTTTAGATCATAATT